CCACAGACCACCTAGACTGGCCGTATCTAATTCCAATGCACGGGTACCAGTGAATGCAAAATCCGGGGAAGTGGAGTGTGGAAGGCAATCTGATCGCGCGCATCTTTAAGCAGATCCGGATTAAGTAATATTTTTATTACATATTAAACATTATATTGCATCTTATGACAAATATTCAATTTTAAGTTTGTAATTCAGAAAATAGTATATTTTAGTGTCATATTAAATAAAACTACTAAATAATTTAAATATATTTATTGTCCTCTAAATAACATTAATTTATTTAATATTTGCCTTTTCGTAGATTTTACCGAATTAAATAATTTGACTTCATGATTTATTCGTACATCGATATACTTTTCACATTCAGCCCTTACAAGTTCTATTAAATGATTACAATTGTTAGGCAAATTATCAAATTGATATTCATGCAAATTTTCAAATATGTTCACATTCAGAGTTTTTTAATACATGATAAACAATTTTAATTTTCTGTAGCCTAGGTGTTCTGCTTTCATCATTATTAAAAAAATGTATTAATTTTTCTGTTGCTTGGCATATTACTATGACATCTCGAGATGGATACGTCAAACAACCGCGATCTTTAATAAAAATTGACTGTACGAATACTGTGTATTTGACATTAAATTATTTACACAGTCTTCACATTTTATTGGCTTTATTAGAGAACTTGTTACGAAACCGCCGATATATACTATAATGTACTTGCTAGTGTCCAGTCCTGTTTTTTAATAGCCTTCGCCCATCTTCGTTTTATGTCAACATTCCTTGGAAATCTAAAAATTTAAATATTAGGTTTGAAAAATCGAAGCGTACTTATTTTTTTTTTTGTCACAAAACTCTTTGATTTTTCTAATCACATTTTGCCAATTCTCCTTTTCCAGGGTGCTGAACATGAATCTGAAATTAGTTTTGTTTGCGATTTTTTCAAATGAAAAAAATATTTAATTAATAATCAGCTATCTCGAAATGATGGGAATTAGTAAAATTTCATAAAAATTTGACTCACATAAAGTAAATAATTACTAAAAATATTTTACAGTAATTCATTCATTATTTTATAATAAAAATATCACGTTAATCACTACACTATGTGGGCGAACAAAATTATAAAGCTATCCCTGGAAACTTGTGACGTCAACCGAAAAATGGCGTACATATTTACCTTTTATATATTCCTTTTTTTACTTACCTAAAGAAGGAAACTTTTCGCCTCTCTTCACCAACTCAATCACTTGTATTTATGTAATGTTTTACAATACACTTGCCCATGATAAAACGTCTAATTATCGAAATCACAGCGATGCGTACACGTCAAGTGCTAGGACACGACCGAGCGCTGGGCTCCAAATCAGGCATTGGATTTTATTATTTTGCGTCGTTTTTTTTGTCGGACAAGTATTGTTTTTTAATTATTATTTTATTCTAAAGCCAAAAATATAAAATTTATCACTTTTGTAATCGGAAAACCTAACCTGCGATGAGCGACATGTTACGGTTGTCGGACTGGAAAAAAGCGCCTGAAAATTTGTCGGACAAGGTATGGACTTCGTTTTTTAGGCAATTTTTAGTAAGTTAAAATGAAAATTGGGTGTTTTGTAATCGGAAAACCATACCGTGCTAGAGCGACATGTTGGAGATGTCGGACTCGACAATTGCGCCCTCTATTTTGTCGGACAACCCAATTTGCTTCTTATTTAACACATTGTTTTTTAATTCAAATAAAAAATTAGAGTGTTGTAATCACAAAAGAGAACTCTCCCAGAACGACAGGTTTAAGTACTCGCAGTGCAGAAAAGCGCCCTTCCCATATTCTAAAAATTTTACAGCGTGGTAGATGGTAGACTCGTTAAAATGAAGCGATCCAGACCGTTTTCATGACTTTTGTAATCAGTTTGAAAAAAGGTCGCCGGCTTGGGGACTAGTATACCTTCAATCAGCGATGCCTGCACCATATAATTGGACTTTAGTCTTAACATTTTCTTCTGGCCTCTATAGATAACTATCGCACGTATTCTCACGAGTTACTGTAAGCACTACTCCAGTGCGCTGCGAGTGGTTGTGCGCCACCTCGAAAAAACTCTTGTTCCCGATTTTCCCCTCACTTAAAAAACTTTTTCTATATNTTTACAGATTTAATGTGATAGCAGGCTTGATATTTGAAATAGAGTACTTGACCTTTCCAAGGGTAGTTCATAGTGATAGGGTAGTTTCCGGTGGCAACAAAGGGCGGCAATAGGTTTTGTAAATGAATATATATGAAACGTAAACTTTTTAAATCAAACTTAACGTGGCTTTTTAAGCTTGATTGGAGATATAAGTAATAACAGTTTTAAGGGTTGTTGACATGGTGTCTTCCGATAGTGACAAGAGGTCCGAATGTTTCTAAAAAATCAGTATAAAAGTAATGTTAACAACCTATGTCAAATATAGGGTGGTATGGAGCTAATTTTCTAAAATACATGTAACTAAGTTTTAAGGGTGGATAATATGGGGGGTGGCTTCCGATGACGGGGAAGCATTGTTTTCGTTTACAGAAGTCAGAATTTAGTTGGTAAAATCATTTTAAGAACGATTAAACGTGATATTACGGGTTTTCATTTTCGTTCAAACGAAAGTTCGGAACTTCAGGTACATCAATTTTTGACATTGTAGATCCTGTTGCTGAACCCTTTATGTCTACCCGCATATGCCGTAGCGAGTTGGCTCTTCTTCAAATCCAGGGTGTATATAGAAGAAATAACATTATTAAACTTTTTTGGACAAAATTACTGTGATTATCAACAGAAAGTCGGTACTGGCTTACCTTTTATTGAAGGATATAGGATATAAACTAAATAGGTTTTTCTTTGACAATGTAACGCTAAGATGACTGTGATGTTATATCAATGTAAATAACTGTTTCACTAAATAAGGGATTTTTTTTATCAAAAAAAAGTCAGATAAACAAACAATAAGTATAAAATGTAAGTTATCAACAAATTGATTAAAATGGTGTGTCCAACCTACTTCAGCTTAGTGAACGATGTTTTAACATTAACACAACATTATCAGTTGTGGTTGGACGGTTCTGCTAATGGTTTGTCATAATTCAGCCTTGCGTCAAATCTTGTCATAATAAAAAGTCATAAGTTTGAAAGGTTTTATAATATCTACTGGAACGTTATATGTTATGTACAGAGATAACCCTAGTTATGTCAAATTTGTCAAATCAAATCTGTTTGGTAAACACAACTCCAAAATGTGAACTGAAAAAATATCCAGCGGAGGAAGAAAGTGCTACTCCCTAAGATCAAAAATAGTCTGTAACTAACCTCTTGAATGCTTATGACGTATATAGTATAGTACGACAGGTTTAAGTACTCGCAGTGCGGAAAAGCGCCCTTCCCATATTCTAAAAATTTTACAGCGTGGTAGATGGTAGACTCGTTAAAATGAAGCGATCCAGACCGTTTTCATGACTTTTGTAATCAGTTTGAAAAAAGGTCGCCGGCTTGGGGACTAGTATACCTTCAATCAGCGATGCCTGCACCATATAATTGGACTTTAGTCTTAACATTTTCTTCTGGCCTCTATAGATAACTATCGCACGTATTCTCACGAGTTACTGTAAGCACTACTCCAGTGCGCTGCGAGTGGTTGTGCGCCACCTCGAAAAAACTCTTGTTCCCGATTTTCCCCTCACTTAAAAAACTTTTTCTATATTCTTGATATAAAGCATTGTTTAAACCATTTATCCAAAAATCGATTATTTCAAAATTCTAGTGGCTTTATCCCTTAACCCTTTCGCTGCGTGATACGTCTGAACATAGCTACCGCACCGTGAGCGAACGTTTACCGCGTGCGAGTATACTCATCTGGAGCAGTTACACTAATTATATTATTACATTATGTTGTGTTAAATTAAAATATGTATGAAGGTTTCAAAATAATTGTAATAGTTTAGTTATTAATATTTTATTATAAAGCATCCATCACTACGCTCCTCAATCTCAAACTCGTCGCCGCTATCACTCCTCGCTAAAATTTCTTCCAGTTCTTTGTCAATTTTTTAGATATTTTTGCGATTTTAAATAAAATACAGTATATCGACAGCCCTACTAAAACTGAAAAAGAGATGAACAATCTTGGCATTATTACCAGTACCTCCTTCCATAAAAATAATTGCCACAATCGCTATAAGCTCCGCCCGCAAAAACTCCCTATACCAATTGCAACAACCGAGTCACTAATACGCATAGTTACGAATATATACGGTTTGAGCAGCCTGATTCAATTTTATTCATGCGAATTAATTCGTCTGGAACAGTGAGTCCTATAAATTTTTAGCGAATAAACTCGTCTGGAGCAGTGAAAGGGTTAAATCAATTTAGTTATGTTGCAAAAATATAAATTAAAATAAGTTTGAAGTATATCAACTCCCAGAACTCAGACTACTAAAATGAAAGTGGTAATCAAGATACTGTATTTTATAGCTTTTACATAAATTATTTTTGAGATTGGTCGAAGAATTTTACATAATTTGTCTTCAAAAAATTGCAAATTTCGCCAAAAGTTTGCTTTTGCATTTTTTATAAGAATTAAGAATCTAGAATTTAAAATAATAAATAAGTTTATTTAAAAAATCTTGCACTAATTTTATTTTTATATTGGGACTTCTTCAACTATTCTTAAAATCGATATTATCACAAAATTACCTAAAGCCACTAGTGGTATAGTTAATGAAGTTTTATTTTTTGTTTTCACAATTTTGGAAACGGCATAAATTTTGAAAAGACATCTGTGCCTCAAGATAGGTAACAGTGATAATTATAACTAAGTACTAAATGCAATAATTTCTGAAAACTTGGAAAAGGGCATTACTAGTAGAAAATAATTAATACTTATGTTCTTTAGGATAAGAATTTTTTATACTGTATTTTGAAAAATATTTCAAATTTTTTTTTGGTATATTTCCCATTAATTCAGTTTTAATTTAAAATTGTCCAAGGTGTGTAACAAATATTTTTTTTCTTTAACTGCTCATATTTTCTATAATAACTAATTTAGAAAATGGAAAGAGTTAAATTATTTTATTGTCGCAGGATTCCTAATCCACACAACCGTATATTTTTATATTTATTTACTGACAATTGTATTTTTTAAAGATTGCTTCACATAAATGTTATATAATTTTTTTTATTATACAGGGTCCCAGAAGAATTGAGACAATAAACCAAAATTAACTTTGTCTAAAGACTTCTTATCTGATATGTATTTTTGTTTAATAAAGTGTAGTACAATATATTTCTATTTTTAGTGTCGCACCACTTTGGTCACTTCATAACTTTCTCATTTTTTAATACAAAACGGCCTTTCTTAGAATAATAACTGACTGACATTTGCTTTATATTTATTATATAACAGATACTTACCTAGCTTAATTAATTTATTTCTATTTATGTAAGTTTTTATTATATTCCTGTATATATTTTTATAGTATTAAGGATATTTTGTAAATGACGCTTAATTAAAGATAATATAAAAATTTATTGTGTGTATAAATATGTTAGTTCTCAACATAATCAATATTATTAATATAAATAGATTATTGGCAAGATAATAATAAATAAAAAATTTCCAAAAACTTAATAGAACAAAAAATAAGTATATTACACTTGCGTTACTTCGCCGTCTTGTTGCAGAATCCACTGAGCAGCTCTCGTAATGTCCCACATCGAGTTCTCCAAAGCATTGAAACAAGCACTTAAGTCTGCACTTACAACATTTTGAAGTTTCAAAATTTTGATTGCTTTCATTACATCCCAATCAGATTGATCAAGCGCTTGAAGACATTTCTCCGTTGTTACCTGCCAAATATACAATGAGTAAAAAAAAGTTACAATGGTTATTTCAAATATAGCATATTCTGAAAATTCTTAAAAACGTGCGACTAATAAAATCACTGAATAACAAATTAAAAAATTCAATTTGAATACCTATCTGTGTAATAAATATAGACTGCTATCGAGATTAATTGAACAAACTTAAAATTTGATTTTAGCTTATTTTAGATTTATTGAAGTTTGGTAAAAGTAATAATCTGAAAGTAACATTTTACAATATTTTTTTTTAGAAAAATCACTAGGAATGAAATGAAGTTGTCTGACTTCCAACATACCCACTGGCCTTAAATTTCTGGGGTTCTTAGTGGTAGTTGATCTTCAGCACTGTTCGACATATTTTTTATATTCGAGATCAGCAGATTTTGACCTTTAATTACACAAATCATTTGGTCAGGCTTCATTACTCCACGCCAAATGTTCAAATATTTAGAAAATATAAAACTTGCCTAAATTTCAACATAAGAGGCTTTTTTATATTTGAATCACTCGAATGCAAATCTTCAATTTGGCAAATTAATTATGTAACACCCTGTATACAGTTGGAGTAACAGATTAGTATAAAGACAGAAGTAAAATATTTGTTTCTGTGTTATTGGTTTTTGCACAGCATAAGTAAACCAACAGTTTCACTCTGTCGCCACTTTGATCTCATTCTGCCGGAAAATGTAGTAAAACAGGTATAGTCTTTCCGATATCAATTGTAGAACCAAGAGGATGACAGTATGTATCAGGTTCGGTCGCTGACGCAGCAACTCGGCATTGAAATATTTGAAAAACTTGTTCCCATATTTATTTAGCTATACAGGTCTGGTCGAACTAAATGTGGTAGAAATGTATAAGCCCAGTTGAAGAATGTGAGCGCGGGCAAACAAATTACAAATCCAGTTACATTGGGCCACTGAGCAATAAATCTCAGCCGTTGACAAGTGGTCAACAAATTGCCGAGCAGTGCAGTGCAGCAATGCGGAATTTGGTGTGATTCAGGTAATTTTAATTTATTATAGGCACCTTCTATTAATCATTACATGACATTTTAGAGACCTTTTGAAACGGAACAAAATGAAATTTACCATCAATATAATAAAATTGTTTGAAGACATAAATATGTAATTATAACATGTTGTTGGCCAAATGAACATATAATAGAAATTTTCTGCACACTATATATAAATTAATATAATTTTTTACCTTTATCAGAAAACTTTTTTAGGGACGCCTATAAAACTCATTAATTTTATTGTCAGGCGTTTTCTTACATGTTCAACTGACTTTGGAAAGACTATAATGATCTCGATAAACAAACTAGGATGTGAATTAATTTTGAGGATTTACAATAGACGTAACTTATGCTACCTCGCATCGGACACTTCTGTAACTATATTCATGTGAAAGCTCTATCATTTGTCTTTACTTTTTATTGTGTCATTTTACTGAAGCGTAAACAACACACTTTTTCTTAGATCTGAAGATAACAAAACATGATTTGCGGGAAGTTTTACTTTTCCTGTTTAATTCAAAGAAAAGTGCTGCTGAAAGTCATCAAGTGCTGTTGGAAACTTACGGTGAACATACTTCTCGATAAAAACGTGTGAGTATTGATTCTGACATTTTAGAAGTGGCAACAGTTGACAAAGAGCGCCTTGGCCAAACAAAAAAGTTTGAAGATGAACTTACTGAATCGTTGAATATTGATCGCAAAACAGTTTTCAAACATTTAAATGTTCTCGGTATGATTCAAAGGCAAGAAAATTGGATGCCATACGAATTGAAGCTGAGAAATATTAAATGGCGATTTTTCACATGTGAATAGTTACTTCAACAGCAGAAAAGAAAAGGTTTTTTTGCATCATATCATCACTGGCAATGAAAAATGGATACACTATGATAATCTCAAGCATAGAAAATCGTGAGGTTTGCTTGGTCATATATCAACATTGACAGCAAGGCAGATATCCATGGTTCCAAACTCATGCTCTGTATTTGGTGTTCTGTACAATGAGCTACTTCAACTGATGAAACCATCACTGATGAATGCTACTGAACATAATTGATGCATTTAAGCTGTGTGCTGAAGGAAAATCAGCCACAATTCACAAAGTAATTCTTCAAGATGACAAAGCTCAACTACGTTTCCCATGGAGTCAAAAAATACTTAAGTACCATTACTACAATACATTACCAAATATTACTCCAAAAGATTACTACTTTTTCCAATTCATGGAACACTGCCTGGTTAAGAAACGCTTCCAATCTTACGAAGATATAAAAAATTGGGTCGATTGAAAAAAAGATGAGTTGTTCTTTTGATACAGAATCCATATCCTGACAGAAAGATGGGAAATTTGAAAAATAATGTACACAATTTTTTATAATAGCCTTGAATTTTAAAAAAAAATCCCTCAAAATTAATTCACAGTAATATAATTCACTAATATAATTTAAAAATACTAAAATTAATTTGAACTGATTCATTACTTTTTTAATCATTTTAGGTAGTTTATTCGTTATTTGTTGTCACGTGTTATGTTATAAGTTATAGGGAATATCAGAAGCACTTTAAGGGAGAGTAAACTTAAAAGCATCATACCAGTAACATATTTGTTGCTTGTACGATGTACCTATACTGATGTTATAGAACGTTCAACGTTAATGAGATTCTCAAATAAAAAGAATCTAAATGTCTCCAATCGATAATTGGTATAATTATATTTTACATCAAAATGTTAGAGTATGTATTAAAATTGACGAAAACTAAAATTCGTACAGTTCTAAAGATGTAATAAAACAACGAAACATCGACAATTATTAAACCGGTTTTGTTTTCATAAAATTTACCTGCACTGCACCTAACATCCCGAATGACTAACAAATTTGAAATAAATATATTAAAGTCGGTAAGCTTTTTGATGTAAAATATTTATTTTATCGTATAGACCAGGGCCAATCTATCGAAATATCCCACTTCTTTTTGCTGGAATACCTTCAATACAACTCGCATAATAAAACATTTTTGCAATTTTGAAAATGTTCTGAACCTCGCCCAGATCTAGGGATCTACACTTTCATTATGTGAGTTGTACTGAAAGTAATCCAGCAAAAATTTGCTTGCCCCCTCTCACATGCACCTCAAAACAGATCCGCCCTGGTCTAATATTAGAACCAAATAAATTTATGATACTGTACGTTTACTTACATCTTTTCCCAAAACTTTGGACATAATTCTAACTTCATCGGAGTCATTTCCTCTGGTCCTAGAGCTGGGTTTCGTGTTAGCAAACTTCAGAAGATCTTCGCAGCTAACGTGATGGCTATGAATTTTTTCGTCATCGTTCTTCAAACCCCCAAATTCGTTTATGCCATCTACCACATCTTGTTCTGCCGGAATTTCATCCAGAGCATTTAAGTTTGATTCGATTTGCTCTTCGAAGTGTTGAGATTCTGGAATTTTTTGACTGATTTGAGGAACGTTATTGGTGTAAACAGGTTCTGGTTTTTGAAATGGATCACTAGTGCTCACGGGGGGCGGAGAGGCAGTGTTCACTTTATCCAACGTTCGCTGGAGACTAGTAGGGGGTATTATTAATGGGTGCTTCCGGGTATGCCTTGCCTTCGCTGTTAAAAGAACTTTGTTGCGATCTCTAGGTGGTAGAGGTATAGGATTCTCTTCTCTTAGACGTTCAATTTTTGGGGTTATACTGTGTTGTCTTGGTAGCGTTGCATGTGAAAAATCTAGAAACATGTTTAAAAGAAAATTATAGATAATTGAAAATAATTATAAATTTTCAATCACAATTTTTATCTATAATGCTCTTTAACTGTCGCAGATACAGGGTGGTCAATTAGTGTGAGAACAAAGTACAATGGCTCTATTATTATTCAAGATACAAAAAAGTTGTTTGCTCTTTCATAAAAATTACTAAACATTTATTTAATGCATTTTTTGTTTTATATAATTGTGTTAACATGTGCTACTGTTTTATCTTGTCCTGTTTTTTGTTAGTTTAGCATCGTCTCACTTCATCCTTCATTGATTTTAACCTAGCATATTTCAACAATTGTAGAGAGAAGTTACTGTTTTGAACAAATAATGCTTATTTGAATTATTTGGAAGGGTGGTTACTCGCAACTATAGTTAACGTTAGGATATGATGTAGAATAGGAGAAAAATTTCTAAAAATATTTTTGATTGTTGTCTAAACAGACAATGATCTGCATTTTATAATATTTCATGCAATCACTAATATATTTTTCTAAGTATACTTAGCTAATATAATAAATGCTTCTACCATTTTTGGTATTACAAATTAACTCGGAGAAGCGCATACATCGCATTAAATAAATATATTTTTATATACAGGGTGAGTTATTAATAATGGTACACAGCTTAATGGCAGACTGTTACCGCCAAAATATAGCGATTGAACCAAACATGCCTTAGTCAATTGTTGTCTTTGTTCTACAGGGTGTTATAGTTGAAAAATTATTTTTAATTTTTTGCTGTATTTCAAGTATGTATGGGCCAATTGTTTTGAAAATTTGTAAAGAATCTCAAAAACTTAAAATGTCTGTATCTCGAAAACGGTTAAGTGTATCGATTTGTAACAAGTATACCTTTTTTATTTAGAATTGAACGTAGTTCAATAATTTCTAGTTAAAAAATTAAAAACTGTAAAATACAAAACGTTGGACATATTTTTACGTTGAAAAGACAGTATAACAAGCACCCCCTAGACGTGACCCCAACACTGTTTGCATATTTGTATTTGCCACCTCAAAAAATGTAAAACTACAATTTTTCAACTTTAACACTGTAGAACAAAAATGAGCTAAGGCATATTTGGCTCAAAACCTATATTTTGACGTTAACAATCTGTCATTAAGCTGCATTATTAATGACTCACCCTGTATACACATGTGCAATGTTTTATTCTTATATATTTTGTAAATGTGAAAAATAGTAAATTGTACAGGGTGTAACTTCGAGTGAAGGCTGCCTTTGACTTTGTTGTAAAAACATTGTTTTAAATATTTTTTTGTAATTTTCATACCCCACCACTGGACAAGCTAGTTTAACCTCAAACAACTACGCGCGTCAGCCGCTAGCGACTCCTAATTGGGAGGTACGGCATGCACTGTTGTCACCTCTCATTTCACTTAATATAGGTACATGTCTTTTCATATTACAGAGAAATTAAACAATGCACACACAAACATGCCATACCATTGCTAAGTGCTGAAATAAATAACTTTATAAGGTTATACACTTACATTACACAAGACACTTCACGAAGCAACATTTTAAGTTTTACCATAAAATTAAACTTAATATAAAAATTGCCTACCATATTACAAACACCTTCTTATAAATCAATAAAAAACTAAAATGCCTTAAACATTGGCCATCAGATGGATTGACAGTATGTAGTTTCCCTAAACTAAGTTAGTGTCAGAGGTCAATAATACTGAGATTCAAAAACTAAACACAGTGCTTTAAAAAACAGCAACAAATACTTTTTATTCAAAACTTGCAATGTTTAAAAATATTTCAAATCTATCAGATTGGCGAGTAGTTTTATTTACTTTTTAATAAGTGCATTTTATAAAATAGCAGTCATACAAATGCAATTGCTTTTTGTCTTCTTCTAAGGCCTTCTGGAAATCCAAATGAGTCCTGGATTGACATCCCATCCTCTGCTGGCTCTCCATGGATAGGCTCGAAGAATGTTTTTATTTACTTATTATTATATATTTTTTATATATGTTGGTTTGAAGGTTTTGATTATTTTTTTTATTTGTTATTTTGTTTTGTTTTTGTTTCTATATTTTTTGTTAGTTTGCTTTTGTTTTGGTTTTCTTTACATATTCTTTAATTTATTTTCTTTTTTCACCTCTCTTTTGTTTAATTTGTTTACTTTTTTTTTACTTTATTATTTTTTTACATTTTAATTTCTCTTTTGCAAGTAGAAATCGGGAAGCGGAAAGGTAGGTTTGAAATTAAAGATTTATTTAAACGAAAAACCAAAAGTGCTGCAAGAGTACGAATTTTTTTTGTAGGTATCGCTGGTACGACAGCGATGCGATTGATTTTTTTTCAGTGTGCTGAGAGCCTCAGCGATATAGCGCTTGTACTGTCTAAATGCGGAGTGAGCTTTCTAGACCGGGACGCCCCGGCTTTTATATGCTCGCCCGAGGTAGAGCGAGGCTCCGCCCACCGTTGCATGCAAGGTAACGTCACCACGACATTTTACAAAAATATTTTCCACTGCATCTTTCTTCTCTGTCACTACATTGGTTTCATACAATTAGTTCAATAGGTAACAACAGACACACAACCCAATGGCAGTGTAGATAAGAGGTTAAATGCAGTTTAAAAAAAAAACGATTTATAATACAACCAGTCATTTGATAAAAAAAATAATTCAGATTAATATTCTGCCTAAAAAATTACCCCTACTTAAAGTTACACCCTGTATATGACAGCACTGCAACAAAATGTAGATTATTTTTACCCATTTTTGCTAAAAAAAATTCACATGTTAAAGGATTATTGGCAATGGATTGTCCAAAAACCAATAGATCAAGGATATTCTATCTAAAAAAAATTAACTGCTATGTTTTCTTATACTACCTTATATATTTGCAAATAATTTTAAAATGATATATGATCCCTTTAACTTTTATTTGAATATTTATTTTTTTGTATTTTGAATAATAGTAGTTTCTCCACATCATTTTGAAATTAATAGCTCTGAATTGTTTTATATGCTATAAACTAAATAAATACAAGATAAACTAAAACTGTAATTGATTTTTCTTTTTAACAAAACATTAAAAAAATCAATATTTCACTTCTGTCCCTGTGCTTAATTGAAAAAAGTTAAAATTAATTTTAATGTGAAATGAAGTCAGGAACAAAACTGGAACGTAGTACTAGAAAAGGTTTCAGTAAAAACAAAACCACGAACAAGAACGAAAGAGGGATAAGATACAAAAGGAAAAATTTTCACAAACAATTCATAATGCACATATACTTGACAGTATTGTTTTACCTTCCAATAGCGTTCATAAGTGCCAAAATACTCTATTCTTGGATTCTCTGTTTACTGAAGAATTCTTTTTAATTGGTGTAGTCGGTGAGAAACGATTTCGTATTTCATCGTTTCTCAAATCCCAAATCAAAATTCTTCTTTGAACTTTAAAACAAAACAAAAATATCAATGAGGACTTAAATTTGTTTTTGTTTGCCTTTACTTACAATGCCATAATATTGATTTTTGATATATCACAAAGATGGGACATATCTTATTTTAGGTGGATGTAAAAAATTAAAAGGAGACTCGTGTCAGGAGTTAGCTGAAGTTGCAGAATCATAAGGAGTTGATCACACAATTTTGAAACATTTGAAAGCATTAAGAATGATTCAAAAGCAAGGACGAGTTGAAACCGAGAGACTTCAAGCGACGTCTTTGCACGTGTGAACAGCTACTACAATAGCAGAAGAAGGTTTTCTGCATTGTATCGGCCATGCATCATGGGAGATTGGTATCGATTACTATTAATGTGTTTGAGTCAAGCATTGAAGAAAAAATGGCCGCTGTACAAGCAGAGACACAACAAAATGAATGTGGAGCATAGCAATGCTCAGCCACATGTTGAAATGCTCCATCCGCCATAATTGCCAGACATTGCCCCTTCTGATTATCACTTGTTTCAATCGATGACACGTGGCCTGGCTGACCAGCACTTTAGTCTTATGAAAATGCCAAAAAATTAGTGAACTGTTGGATAGCCCCAAAAGACGTGTCGCTTTTCCGACATGGAATTAAAATGCTGTCAGAAAGATGGGAAAATGTAGTGGCTAGCGATATGGACAATATCTTCAAAAAACAGCAAGAACTTATTGAGCATACCATTAATAATTAATAGCTCCATTATTTTGTACCTTTTATATAGGTGATTTTTGGTCAAATTACCTATTTTTACAAATTTTCCGTTACAAAAAAAATGCATCAACTTTGAAAACACTGTATGAAACAATAAACACACGAATGTCATTGTTACACGCTGTAATTTTCAAATACGGACAATGTTCAGTACAAAACTTACCTTGTGAACCATTTAAATTATCCGGAATTGAATTTCTGGCAGAACTATGCAGTTTAGGAGGAAGAGTACTACTGGCTAAACTGGCCGATCTGTTCCTGGTATTTATTACGGGTTGACCAGAACGTAAAATCCTTAACGGGTTTGTCACCATCAACTAAAATTAACAAGTTTTAGCATTTACAGTCCGTCAAATAATATATATGTTACCTGCGTTACCTCATTGGTTGGGCTCTCTACAAGACCTTGGTACGCCAAGTGTGCCTCTTGTGTAACTTTAGACTAAAGGGAAAAATAAACAATAAACAAACTAAAAAAGGTAATAAAAAGAAAAACAAGGTGAAGGAGTAAATAAGTACAACAGTTTAAAAAGTGCATGTTGCTCTAACATTATAGGAGGGAATGTCGCGCTTATCTTAGTGATGTATATAGATATAAATATTAATATAGATGTGTATAACAAAGTTTTAGTATAATATAAACTAGTATAAAAATGCATATTTACAAACTAGAATCAGAACTTGTAGAATTTGATGAACGTTGACATCTAGTTACAGAAGTGGGGGACAATCCGCTCAAAATGCTATTACTTGGCGGCGGAGACCTCCCCATTGCTTTGATATTAAATGACGGTTTCAGGAATGGATTTGTCGACCGTTTTATCATCTCGGAACGAATACTACTATTTGAACTTGTTAACCGTGAAAACCTCCTCCGCCTCCGCCAATCCAAATCCACCGAGCCTATACTAATGCAATCACTGTCACTTGAACTGGATTCGTAGGCTCTAGGATTATAAGATTGACGCCTACGATTTCGGTCTTTAATACTACGACCATTCCTCTTTTTAAAAGGTTCCTGTGTTTCGCTAAAGCTTAATGTACGCGGCCTTTCGAAAAAGTCTTTAGATTTATCTGGCTGATTCTCTAATTGAATTTTTTGAAAATTATCATCCACTATATCAGTCTTGTAATAAATATACGATGTTTCGAAATACTGTGAACCATTCGCATTAAATGGGACGTTGTCTCTATAAAATTTTCGATTCGAATCCAGCCTATAGCGAGGATCAGTGTATGTTTTCCTAGACATACTCTCAGATTTTATCAATGTTCTATCCCTATATTGCGCGTGAGGCCTGTAATAGTTATCCTCAAACGATAAATTTTGAAATTGACTTTCAAAATCGAACGGTTGATGCATATAATTATCATTATTATAGTTACTCAAATTACGACACGAACTGTGTGGAACACGAGCAGAAGGAAAAGGCCGTGATAGCAGTTCTCTAGATTTGGCAAAATAAAATTCGGCAGATGCCTTGTCCCACAAAGGCAAACGAAGAGTCTGATTGGATATTTCATCGAGGGACGAGGGAGAACTCATAAACTTCTAAATAATTCGTGGAAGTTAAATTAAAGAAATTAAAATAACAAGGGAAAAGGTAGAGGGAAAAAAATTCAGTGTTAGTATGTGTACAAAACAAAGATTAATTTAATCAATATTAACGAGAATAAATCTAACAAAACATAATGTAACCAGTGGTGGTTCGTTTATTTTATCAATAGAAGTGGTATGTCAAAAATAAAGAATAGTTTCTCTCATCCAAATTTAAGAATATCTTCTTATGTAAAGATTTGCGTTTGGAGCACTTATATTTAAGGTTTAGGTTTAGGGTTTTTAGAAAAAAAATTACATATAAATGTTTTCTAAACATACGAAGATACTGAAGTTAATTTAAAAGCTAACCATGAAATCAAGAGATGATTTTCATTAAAAATAGAATTAGTTTTTCAGAGCTGACAAAAATATTTTATTCCAGTTTTGTGGTTTAATTTTTTAAGAAAATGTATTCAGCATATTTACATTGATATACAGTCCAGCTATTAAGTTCTAAGACTGATTTTATAAATGATAAATATGTGAAACTATCTATGTGCAGTCAATGGAACTACGTAGTGGGAAGCCTTCCGAGCGACTAAACAAAATTTCATCAATATATGTGTATCTGCAAGTTATAATGTTTTGTGTGAAGTGAGTTTTAATATGAGTTGTCATGGAAACGCACACTGAACAGGTGCAGCAATTCAGATCTCTTTTAAAGTAAAACAGCCACGGAAACTTATTAACTGTTACAAACGGTGTACAGTGAGGAGTGTGTATCATGTCCGTCTGTCTTCCTGTGATTCGGGATGTTCCGTGATGGAAACCGACGAAGGAAAACATCAAAGCAGTGCACTCTGCACTGAAATAGGATCGTCCATCAATTGTAAACGATCTGCCAACATTCTGATGGTTAATCGACGATCAAACTTTAGCGCAGAGCACAAAGCTTTGATGTTTTCATTCGTTCAACTTGTTCAGAAATTTCCCGTCCTCTCGTCATAGTGCACATTGTCCCATCTATTAGAAAACCTCCCGAACCACAGGAACAAATTTGAATGTGATATGCACTCCTCACCGTACACCATTTGTAACAGGTGATATGTTTCCGAGGCTGTTTTATGAGCTTTAAAACAGACTGATTGCTGTACACTGTTCAATGTGCATATCCATGACAACTGTCAAAAACTCACTTCATGTAAAATGTTATATCTTTATGGTAGCTATACATACAGTGTAGGAAAGTACCGATGGTCTATCAGAAGTTACGTGAGAGCGATAAAGTAAGCCATAGAAATCCATGTGATAGACAAGGATGGCTATAATGAAGGCGTTTAATAGTCAACGCCCATTTCGCCCTTCCACAAATAAGAAGTGGATCTTATTTGTGGAAGGGCGAAATGGGTGTTGACTATTAGACGCCTTCATTATAGCCATCCTTGTCTATCACATGAATTTCTACGGCTTAATTTATCGCTCTCACCTAACTTCTGATAGACCATCGGTACTTTCCTACACTGTATACTAACAAAATTTTGTTCAGTCGGTCTGAAGGCTTCACACTATGTAGATCCGTTGATTGCACATAGATAGAAAACTTAATAGCCGGACTTAATTTTCCCTCAATAAATGCCAGTTTACCAACACAAATGGTACCACCTATTTTCTGTTATTTTTTGAGACATAAAGAATGCATAAAAAGAGAAATTATATAAAATAATCAAAGTTTACTGAAGTTGTGAAAACAATTGAACATCACTACAGAGAAACGAGCTTAATACGGATCGTTTTTAATGGAACCTCCTATATATTTTTGCATATTTGAACATTTACATTTTGATTAGTGTTGTAAGGTTTGATGTGTATATCCCTAATAATAAAAGAGTCACAGGTGTGATCAAGAGTGTACCACACTGTATGAAAGAAAGACTAACGAACAAACGGTCACCTAACAAATAGTCACAAGTTCTGTCTAACATGTTAGATTTGAGACATAAGTCCATGTCTCAATAGAGCTTTCATATCTTGATATTTGCATTCGTTAGTTAAGTAAAAAATCTTCCCAAATATTTCCTTTGAAGTTATGCATGTATTTTATTGTCTTTAGTTTAAGTTAAAATTTCGTATATAAAAAGACACTTTTGGGAATTGAAATTTTCTTTATAAATTTCAAATCTAACTTGGTAATCCGCAATCAAGGATTAACGGACGCAAATTAACGGATGCTTCCTCTTTTTTAAATAATCGCGAAACTGTTGAATATAAGTATAGGAAACCTCAATATTACTCATCGCAGAATTTAATTCTACATGTTCCTGACTAATAAAGTTGTTGGTGATCCATTTGAAAAAAAAAAAAAAGTTATAAATCTTTGAAAATTACTGTAGTGGCCACAAAATTTTGAGAACCCTGTGCATAGATGGGTCAAATGTGGCACATTTTCTATGAATACATAACATATACTACTAATAATGTAAGTATGACATTTCCAGCTATACAGATGTTAAGAGATATTTAATATTAATCGTGATATTGCACCTCAGTTTTTAAAAAAATTTAAATATTTCAAAAACCATCAATTTTCAAGACATGGTGACAGAAGTCCCTCAAAATAAGTCCTAGAATAGATAAATGATATAAAAAATGGGGTATTCCATTTAAAATAACGGAGATGAGGTCATTTCTGGCAAAATCGGAAGTACCCCACACTTGAAAATATTTCAGTTAAAAAGAATGAATTGAACCCAGATTGCTGTCAAAATTTCAAATTTCTATTGCAACTGGAAGTTTAAAAACTTTTAATGAACGGGTTACGTGAAAAACCCTGTACATGTTTTTTATTTAATCTGATGGATTTTTTGGAATTCAATGATATATGCTTGATTTTTGTGTTAAATTTCTGGGGAAAAAATATGCCAAAATAATCATATATATTAATTTGGACACTTCGAGAAAACTGTATTTGCCAGCAAAACAAGTGATACTGCACCACTGCTAGTAATTAAGTAATTTTCTTTTATTTTCTCTCTTTATTTTTAATAACTGGTAAGTAATAATTAGTTACATTTTCATTCTGTTTAGGCTGGTCGTTCTTTGGATACGTTTTCGTCCGAATTATTTTTGTCAGAAATTGGACTAATAATTTAGTCAGATTTCGCCCATGTGATATCGTACACTGGACAAGTTTTTGCTTTGTACAAAGTCAGTCGTACATACTGATTCGTCAAATCAGCATATTATAATTGCTAATAATATGGATGATTATCTTCTTAGACGATTAGAGATTAAAACAAAAAATGTTGGGTTAATGACATATTAGCTAAACGGAAAGAATTCAAAGAATTTCATCATTTACATGATGATTTAAAGACGTGATGATATGATCTGTCGGTCATATCCCACAGAGGTGTTTTATCACGAATCAGATTAATTCAATTTTCAACATCCATCGATATGTCACAAGTGGTTACTATCGATTCGTCAGAACAACTGCGAACAATCCCATTTCTTTCGGATAGATTCTGCATCGCATGTTATCGTCCGAATTCGCACAAATAAATTTGGAGACAGTGTACGACCTGCAATATGTTTAACTGAAATGGGATCATTCGCACTTCTTTCTCCGATTTCTGAAAAATCCAATTCGGACGAAAACAGACGACCAGCCTTAACCGATTATATATATTTATATTATATACTTTTCACACTAATCTCTGGCACTTGCTATGAAGGGACAAGCGCGTTAAACAGGGAATAAGTACATGTAAGACTGTAAGGTTCACGACAGGTGTGCATGACTCAGCTCGCAGAATTATCATAATTCAAAACTTTCGCTTTTCTCCCAATTTTCCTCTTTTCCAGTCCACTAGAAACAAACCTCATGTAACATCGAGGTAAGTTTTACTACGTTCTCGACCATACACAAACAACAATCAAACACTATTATAGAGATTAATGCATGTGTTGGATAAACATTGTGACTTCTCAGATTGCATATTGTGGCAATTAAAAACAGAACAGTTGTGGAGAAAAATTTTATTTTAAGCGACCCTGTATCGCTGTAATAGTAACCATGCAGATATATAAAAATAAACAAATTATTGCAATAAAAAAAAAATTGTAACCTGATGCTCAATAATTATTGTTTTCGGAACATCAGAAAATAAAAAATATTTGACATTACTGTAATCCTCCCACATTTTTTCCTATGAAAAATAATGAAGAAAAATGATGACGGGTTCCTTTGCAAACGTAAATTTAAGAAAATATCAAATGAAGTTTCCATTTTTGACACTGTTGTATTATACTCGTAAGAGAACTACCACTGGTTAAAATATATAACACTTTTACTCAAATTTCTGGTTGCACTACTACATAGAACAATGATGTATCGCCTATTGTTGAATTTGTAATAAAAAATATATCTAAACTGAACGATTAAGGATTCTCTCAAAGTATTGAAGGTTTTACAAAGACAATAGTTCCTTAAGACTAGTACTTTTGTTTTGATTTATTTTTTATTTTCCTCGCTGTTTATAATAAATATCATCATACCTGCAGATCGGACGTAGAGAGCGCTTCTTCTGAAAAATTTCTTCTCTCGCTATGTTTATCTTGTTCATGTACAGAAGGGAATTTAAAACTAAATTTCTTCTTACTGGGAGAAGCTGGAGTAGTAGGAACTGGTGCAGACATTGATCTAAAAATGAAACGAACACAGGGTAAAACACAAGTCAAAAATGAAGGAGCAACTCCCTCATCTAAACTTAAGAATAGTTTCTCATTTAAACATTCGCCCTTCCATCCTTTGTTTTATAAACACAGGGTGTTGCAGTTATTAAAAAGAAATGTTAGATCTCTAAATATCCTCTGAACAATTGAAGGAATGAATTGAAATGAAATTGTGTATTCACAATATATGGATTAAATAGCAAAAAAAATTAAACCAGTGGTGTAGAAGATACGAAATGTGCTGGTTACGTTTATTTAATAAATTATAGCAAGTCAATTTTTGTATCGTGTTTCGGATAACTTTTACAATTTTGGAACAAATTAACAATTTCTAACGAAACATTTAAATAAACTCATGTTTTAATCAATTTTAGAAAAAGATTTCAAAATGTGCCTCAATATTCTTCCAATTTTTAATGTTTAGTTTCAATAATGTTATTTGTTAAGATATTTAGAGAAATAACATTTCTATAGGGACGTTGATTAAGTTCTCGCTGATTTTCTACAGATGGCATTACCAGAACTGTAAAAATGTAGTTTAAGATAGTAACCCACCTATAAAGGACTATAAGCAAGCTTGAAATTCAGTGTATGTTATTTTGCCGAAGTGTAAACAACTTTTTTTTTCATGTCATGTGTTAAACAAGTCGAATTTTATGCCGAAAAATTTGTATTTGCTGCAATACTTTAATCAAAAGAAATCTGCAGCTGAAGCACACCGTATTCTTGTTGAGATATATGCCAACCATGCCCTGTCGCAAACAACATACAGAGATTGGTTTAAACGCTTAAATGATTTTAGTGTTGAAGATAAAGAATGACTTGATGAACTCATTGTCAGATGCCAGCTGAACTTGCAGAATCATTAGGAGTTGATCACACACATTTGAAAGCATGAAAAATTATTTAAAAGCAAGGACATTGATTGCCGCATGAGTTGAAGCCAAGAGACACCGAATGGCATTTTTGCACATGTTTAGAAAAGGGTTTTTTGCATCGCATTGTAACTGCAATGAAAAATGGATATGCTATGATAATCCTAAGCAATCTTGGAATGAAATTTCACAAAAAAAATTTAAATGCCATCTGGAAAAAAACTGTCCATTTTTTATGACCACTGAAACTCAAGTGGAATCAGCGTCAAAACCTGATAAAATTGGTAATGTAATTGGATAAGTTGTCGATCTTGCCAAACAAAAAAATTTAGAAGTCGATAGTAATGATATGTTATAAGTCAAGCAACAGAGCGAAATAATAACCATAATTTGACATAAAAAGTACCTGCAAACCAACTGTGCGATTATGTGAAGGACAGTTAGTAGATGAATTCTGCACACTTTCTGCACTATAAAATGGAAACTACTGAAACAATCTTAATGTTGTCAATGGACAAATCGTAGAGAATGAAATTACGAAGATAATGAGAGGTCGAATGATCCGATCTGATAGTTAGAACCGGAGAAAATCCAGAAAAACCAGAAAATTTGACGTTTTCTTTAAAAATTCACAACTCCACCATTTATTAATTTTAAGAACTAAAACTTTGCATACAGGTAGCTATTTACATGTATTTTATGTGTGCAAAATCCTAATTCTGTCGAGCTAATAGTTTTTGTACAATCGCCATTTGATTTTTTTTTGCAATTTTTTTGTGAAGGGCTGGATGCTCTGTGTGATTGTCCGATTGAAGATTCAAAAGAGGAATTTGAAACTAGACAGACACAGCAACAGGCAACAATTGAAAAAAGGTTACAAATTTTGGAAAATATATACAGTAGAATCTCTATAATCCGGCACTTATTATACCGGCATGTCCAGTAATCCGGCGTTATTTTTTCCGCGTTTGTCTACTATCCTTGAAGAATACAGTCTACACAGTTATAGTTTAGTTGAAAGATTATTTTACAGAAACATAAAAACATTACAATATACATACATAAATGTAATATGTATATATGTATTTATGTACCAATCTCTTTGTTAATAAAGAATTAAAAGTAACGTTTATTTTCCATTAATTTGAATTTTCGAATACTCCGGCACTTTTAGATTTTTAATGGTGCCGGATTAATGAGATTTTACTGTACTCCAACGAAGAGCGCATTTCTGCTACAAAACAAGAAATAAAAAAATTATTAGTGTTCTACGAGAAAATTTTACATGAGAAGAAAAATCTTTGAATCATCAAAATCATACCCCGACTTATGCGAATTCAACTTACACGTTTATCACTCAGTCCTACCTATTGCTTAAGTTCGGGGTATTACTGTACTTATATTAAACAATTAAAATACTTGCTCTTACAACACCATAATCATACCTTGTCGTGATTTCATTGGCTAATGCAATCGCAGTATCTAGTGTCTTTTGATCGTGTGCTGAAATCGGTTTCACGGTGGCCTGTTTCCTCGATTTTGTGTTCATTTTTTCCCGTAACTCGTTACTCCTGTTGGAGGAACCCTCGTGATCTACAGAATGATTTTGTTGTCCCAACGAACTAAACATCATCTCCATTTCGGCCATCAAGGACGGACCCAAATCTAAACTGGGACTGTGCGTGTTCTCTTCATCACTTATTTCATGATACTCGTGATCTTGAAGAGGTGCCGGTGCAGGAACATGGTCACCTTCAAGAAGGGGGGCAGCCTCAAGATCCTTGTGGGTGTGGGGTCTATAAGGAGCGACTACCTGAGTAGGAACACTGCCGTACTACAAGAAAATTTGTAGCATAAATATTTGACATTTTAAATTGGAATTAGTATTTCGAGTGCAATATACTGAATATTTCAAAATAAACTGTACATATTCTTGTGGCGAATATGGAAACGCTACTTAAAAAAGTCTCAAAAAATTTCTGGATATACAGGATGACGTCTTTTGATGTTGAAATTTCAAAATTCCATGGCGGTACTGGGAAAATTAGAGTGACTAAATTATTTGTCACAATTTATCATTGCAATAATTTATGTTTTAGCTATTTATCCAGATTTTTATATATTGTGCTTCAAGAAGAACTGTTTTCAATTGCTTTTTTTTGCAAATATACAAAGAAAACTTTCCGATGAGACAAACAAATAAAATGTTTCTGTAAAATCTGCAAAATTTTGATAGGAAGTTGTGCTGATATGTACAAAAATAATATTAATTCAAAAGTTGAAAAAACTGTGTGAAAAACATGACATTTATCACTTTAAATGAGTTCTATAAAATTCCATATTCTACTTGGTTTGCCTCAGTCTGACATAAAGTGTGTGCATTTTGTCATGGAATACCCCATATAAAATAACTAACATTTCCTTTGGAACCTCCTAAAAAGCTCAGATCTCCAAAATATGCCCCATCAAGTCCAACATGGCCGGTATGTTTTAAATCACCTTGAGGTGCACTGATCATTTCACTTCTCAATTTCCTCCTGGCCGAAGACCTAGTACTATCTGTGCGCAAGAAGGAGGAACTTGGTAAATCACTACCAAGATAAGCCACAACATTGACGGGATCAAATAATCCTGTCTTACCACTTGTTGTTGCACCTTTCCATAAAGGCTGATGTGTCCTATAAAAAATACATACATTTTAATATTTTTTATCAAGGCAGGTTATCTAAATATAATGATAACATAACTGCCACCTCCCTTTCCTATGACAGAGATAAAACCGGATAATTTTAAAAATGCACATTTCAAACGTCTTTACGGTGAAGAAAATTTTGTAGAAAATGGGAATTTAGAAAAATGTATTTTCTTTTAAGGAAACTCTAACACCATATATATAACATATTTTATGAACTTTTAAAGTTTAAAGTGTGTGATGGTAATGCTACCTTTATAAAAAAAACAATGGAAATTAGTGAAAATAATTAGAAACAAATTAATTAAAGTTAAAGAGCGGAACAAAATAAAATAATTAGACAATCCCAATCCATAACAGAACATAGTACAGTATAATCTCTATAATCGGGCACTTCACTACACCGGCACGTCCAGTAATCTGGCGTTATTTTTTCCACGTTTGTTTACTATTCTTGAAGAATACAGTTTATACAGTTATAGTTTAGTTGAAAGATTATTTTACAGAAACATAAAAACATTACAATATACATATATATATGCATACACAACTGTAATATGTATGTATCTATGTACCAATCCCTTTGTTAATAAACAATTAAAAGAAAAGTTTTTTAATTTAATACTGTTTACATATACATTTTCCATTAATCCGAATTTTCCAGTAATCCGGCACTCTTAGGTTTTTAATGGTGCCGGATTAGTGAGATCGTACTGTAATATGTTTTGTAGTAAGTGCAGCAAAGTGTTAATTTTAAACGAGTTAGGAAAAGTTGTGGCATAAGCCATAGGCGAGTGCTGCTTTTCAAATTTTTTAAAGTTGTTAAGATGTCAAATGGAATCTTAAATCTTAAAGCACAAGACCGTATGTACTCCCGAAATTTCTTCCTATGCTTTGACCATGATGTGTCTCGTAATTTATATTCGAATAAAAATTCGGCGAGTCCGGTATTGATAAACCAGTCCGCCTGATGTAGAATTGACGGCGGCATGCTGGTCATCAAAGCAAACCTGTATTGGTCCACTAGGTCGTAAATAATTTTTTTGTATGGTACACAGGTTCACTTAGCTTTGCCAGTGCAGTGCAGAGCATTGCTTGGCGGGGTATGTTGTTGGTATAATACGTATTATTATTTATTAGTTGATATTATTATTTGTTCATATCGTAACCAGTAAAGGGTAATAGTTATTAAAATAAATGTTATATGTAATTATCTAGTAATTTAGCATGGATCTCTGGAGACTCTTTGAAGCGGAGGATAAAGAAATAACTCGGGAAAATCCCAAAATAGTGGAACCGGTTTTTGTCGAAAGTAACGAAACAAACTGAGAGTTTAAAAACAAATATTTACACGTAAAAAGTCAACGTAATATATTAAATATATATGAATGTTTGAAAATTGAAAATAGTGAAAAATGTGATAAAAATGTTAGGAAACGGATTAACGAATTAACTAAGCTATCAAAAATGACAATTTATCCCGTAATTAAAGAAGGATTGATCACGGTACAAAGAGGAAACGGAAAAATATAAAATTAAAGAAAATTGACCATTTTACCAGACGTAATGCGGCGCACAATTTATAATATGTATAAAGAAACTAAAGTTCCTACTTTAAACATGATTCAAAATAAATTAAACAATTATCCTGATTATAATTATAAATCTTTAGATATTTTACAACATGCTTTATTAAAATCCGATTTTAAACATAAAAAACTTGGCAATCGTATGGTAATTATATGGTAATATAGCTCGGAATATAGTATATCTAGATGAGACAGGGCTAAATTTTTCTGGACATCTGTGGATTCCATAGAATTTATGAGTTAAATGTTTTTATGCGGTTCCAATTGAGATCGTAACAACTATACAGTCATATATATTTTTTTTGTTGGATAGCAGTTTTTGTTAATTTATAACAGATTAATAATTTCAAGAAATCACATATTATGGAATTTATTTATTATTTTCTATGCAGTATTTTGAATATCAGAATAAATGCTGTCTATTTTTGCATATATTAAATTAATGCGGACTGACACTTGTCGAGTTGTGAAAACATGTGATGCGCTTCCGACTACTATGTGAATTACGATTAATTGTAATTAACGCTCTGTGCATACATTTACAATTGAGATGTACAACCTTATAGAAAAGTCTTTCCGGCATACTTATGTCACTTTGCTGCATGCTTAAGTCATGTTTTCATTGTGTTTGAATTTTTGTCACAAATTATCCAGTTTCCGAACAGCAAAAGTGGTACGGAACACATATTTCAGATAGAGGCCATAGAAAAAGCTATTTACACCACTATAAGCACAATTTTATGGTGAAATATATATAAGCAGTATACAGAGTGTCCCGAATTTCACACATCAAATTCTGCTTTGTGATACACTTTAAAATAAGAAAATAAGTTCATATGAACATAAGTCATTTTCAAGATGCAGACTTGATATTTAAGACATATCATATTTTGGCCTCATAAAAATGAAAACTTGTCTGATGTTTTAAAATTTAACAGTACAGCAACCTTAAGAAAACGGTTACTGTTGATCTGCCAATAAACAAAACATTTAGTTACTTTTATCCTTTTTTTTGTATTTGTTGGGTATAAAAAAACCGTTGGGCCAAAATGATCAGTCGACGGCTATATTTTTAAAATACTTCTTGGAATTGCAGTAGAACCTCAAATAACCTTATGTGGATTAGATAATCCACATAAGGTTATTTTCGGGTATTTCTATAACTTTTTTTTTATTTGGACACTTGTGGCATGTTCAAATGTGGGAAGCGTATGCAGTTAGATCAGTTTCTTTTTATCTATTTAAATTATGTTTTGTTTATTGCATTAACGATTAGTAACATGGCAACAAATTAAGGTATAAAAAGTAAAATAAATGTTTTAACCATTTGAACAAAAACATGTATGTATATTTGTATGCGTATATACAAAATAAAAAAGTATATACTTCCATTATCTGTTGTTTAATTATCTGTGAATAATCCGGTTCCGTGAGACATGAACAATAGAGGTGCCTTTACTACTTATACTAATAATATCTCTTTATTAATGCCACTTCTCCATATTTCAAAAATTAGGGTACTTTGCTTGAGGTCACTTTTAAATTTTTCAAGAAATTAAACACTGTATATAAAATCAAGAGAGTAGTAAAATTTTTTAGAGTTTACTTACTTTTTATCCAATACAGTTATAACATCCCCAACTCTGAAAGTTAACATGTGGGGCCCTTCACTCGAAGACAGTTTAGCCTGAACCTGTTCAGGCCTAGATTCTGCCAAAATAGGTCCGATGTCAGCAAATCTAGGCCTTGTGGCAGCTTCATGTCTCCAACAATCCAACATCAAATTATAATGTTCCAATGGACAACAGTCTGGCTGTTCCAACCTCTGACAATTAGGTTCATCTATGGCTTCCAAAATCTGCTGACCTGTTAGGGCGGCCCATGGTTGGAAACCGTAGGAAAACATCTCCCAGAGGGTCACACCAAATGCCCAAACATCACTGGCAGTAGTAAAGCGTAAATAACTTATGCATTCTGGAGCGCACCAGGCTATGGGTAATTTTAAATTAACGTTAAAATTAGTTTGGTAGTAGTCTTTGCCTTGACCTAATGCTCGGCTTAGGCCAAAGTCTGAGATTTTTACTTTGTTTTTGGAGAATACTAATATATTTCTGGCAGCCAGATCTCTGCAAAATTAATGAAAAATTAACAAATACTGCTTTAAAATATTTAACTAACATATTGAATTTGTTATTTTTATTAATAGCACACATAAAAACTATTTTCAAAGGATCTCTTCAATGATCCTTGAAAAGCTGCTGTCTAATTAATTTGTGATATATGTGACACCATCTGACAAGGAGAAGGTAAGTTAATCGGATTTTTGTAATTTTTTATATTTATGGTATGTGTAGTTTGGACCTTGAATAAGAATTTTCTGAAGTAGTTCGACGCAACGTTCATAAATTACCGAGATAATCGCTTTTGAAGTTTTACCTGACAGCTAAATCCACTAGATGCGACACATTCTTCAACTAAGAGCGTGTCCTAGTTGGTAGCGTTCAGGTCTGACAGTTACGAGATCGCTAGTTCAAGTCCGTCGCGTGACATTTTTTTTTTAAACCCACCATATGGTTTTTTATTATTTTTCTCTTCTTGAAAATTATGAACAAACGAAATATTATAAGAACTGTATGTATGAATATTCTTCAAGTGTTTGATTAAAATTTTAAGCTAGGTTGTGTGGGTCGTCAATCGTGTTGAGAAAAACCGCTTACAGAACACACCTGTTCGGGCATAAAGTTTCGATAAATTCCACAAAGGGTAGAGAAGCATCGAAACTGTGCAATGAAAGAACAATCTTTCAAAATGTTAACGAAATTTGTTTTGACATCGATATTTTGCAAACAAAATGCGTCTGTAAAAACATAACATTTACACGACATGCTAGATGCTTAAAAAATTTCTACTTTCCATGTTTCTATGATAACTATCATTCTGGCTTATGCTACACTGCGTAAAATGTCAAATACTAAAAATAAAATAAAATAGCATCCCACCTGACTTCGTTTTTTTTTTAAAGAAACCTTATTGTTAATTCATAATAAATATTGTTTATCAACCAGTTGTGCATGTTAGTGAAATATTTGAAACTTATACATAAGTAGTCATTATAATATTTCGTTTGTTCATAATTTTCGAGATGAGAAAAAGAATAAAAAACCATATGGTGCGTTTTGAAAAAAAGTTACGCGACGAGACTCGAACCACCAATCTCGTGACTGTCAGACCCAGACGTTACCAACTAGGCCACGCTCCCAATTGAAAAATGTGTCGCATCTAGTGGATTTAGCTAGCAAGTAAAACTTCAAAATCGATTATCTCGGTAATTTATGAACGTTGCGCCAAACTACTTATTATTTTCTTATTCAAGATCCAAACTACACGTATTATAAATATCAAAAATTACAAAAATCCGATTATCTTACCTTCTCCTGGTGAGTTATACAGTTAATTTGTATTTGATTCTCAATTGTATTTTAAAGAAAAAAGATTTCTTCCATTTTACTAGGAAAAAAACCCATTTTTGATTTTTTATCTAAAAATAAGTTCACCACACTGTTAAGTAGTAGAATAGTAACTCTAACACTACTCGTTTCACAGAATAAATCTTTAGGAATATTTTGTTAGAAATGATTTCAATTCAAGCACCCACTGTATTTAGCAAATGAAGAAATTTTGGACTAGCTCTATTTGACTTATATTTTGATGACAAGATTATCTGGTAGCATTTGTGTTCCTTCATTTAAACACAACCTGTAATTCTGGGACTATCATTATATATGTACTTATGTGCTATGAATCTGGAAATAATTGCCGAGATAATTAATTGTAATAGAATTTTAAATTTAATATCCACAACGAAGAAATATAATCTAACTTTGACACCTGAACTACTAAAAATATACTATACTTTTACTAGTAACAGACTATTTTATACATTTTATTATTTTTTTTTAACGTAATTTAATGGGTTGTATCTGTGATTAGCACTTTCCTATAAATTTTGAAGAATTCAGTGAGTAAATAAATATGTTTTACATTTGTTCTTAATTATTAATTTCAAAAAAATTTAAATATGGATTAATAATGAACCAAAAATAGTCATAAATTCAATTTTCTTTCTAATAAGTTCGCCAATATCATACCTGTGTATAAGTCTATTGGCCTCTAAATATTGCATTCCATCACATATTTGATATGCAAAATCACACAAAGTTAGCACTGGAAAGCTGGACCTCAATGATGGTTCCTTAAGGCATTCCAGTAAGGACCTCAACGGTGCTAATTCTGTTACCAACATCAAACTTCCCTCGACGTTTGGTAAAACAACACCGAAAAATCTTACAATATTTGGGTGATCTATGTTGTGCATTATAGAAGCTTCTTTTAAAAATTCAACCATATTGCTCTGCATTCTGTCACGTGATAAGCACTTTATTGCAACCTACAGAGTTTTAAAAATAGACTGTTGATTTATATGAAGTCTTATAATTCTAAATGCAATAAGAACCGTATAAGGTTATACAAATATGAAATTGTTATTATTAATTTATACTTTTCAGTATAAATTAATTTTTTTTTAATTCTCAATATAAGTTCTAAGTGTGTAGCAAATAAGTAAAAACAAATTATTAAATTCAAATATTGCTGTACATTAAATTATTATTGTATTAAAGTAAATATTAAACTCTTATATAAAAACGTATATATTTGAACACTGTAAAATTGTTAATAAGATTTTTCAAAAATTGATACGAAAAAAATAAATATAATTGTATACGATTTGCAATTTTGAGCAACTTATATATGCACTTTGTTAGGATACACTATAAATCACTATATAAATTCACTGTATTGAATTTGAAAGACTTGCATTATACAAATGAAATAATTTTTAGATACCTAACAAAAATTTTCTGCTTTGTACATTTTAAATAGCTTCTATTTTATTTGTTTATAAAAATTATTGTAGTATCATTTACATTCTTATTTGTGTAACTGTTAACACGTTTTAAAATAAAATTAAAAACTTTCTGAAATATAATTTTATGATTTAACTTAAAAAGATATTTATCCATATTCATATTCTGATTAAATATTTCATTATCTATAATAATTAATTTTTATTAATAATATAAGATTAATTCCATATTATTAAATAAGTATCCTTAATTACTTAATATTGGATCAAATATAATCAAAAACATTTTCATAAGGTTTGTAATTAACCTTGAAAATTATAAATAAGTATAACATTATACCACAGAGTATAATCTAAAACTGATAATATTTATATATTTAAATTGCTTATTAATTCCGATTAATTAATTACTATACAATTATCACAAAAAAAGCATACCTATTCAATTTTTTTTTATGACAACTTTTAATCAAAAAAAGTAAATTTTCTTCTAAACACGTCTTTACATTGTTTCTAAATAGGTATTGAAAATACTTTTATACAATTCAATAAGGCCATAGAAGAAACTGAACACAAAAAATCTTAATATTTTGTATTTTTTAAAAACTATTATTTATTTATATGCAATGCAATACAGTATAATGCAAGTCTATCCTTATTATAAGTAGTGCATTGCAAACAAATTGTTAAATAGCTTAAATAAGCTATTTTTATGTTTCCCTTACCTGTATTCGTTCTCCCTCATTGCACCAGACACCTTGCTGAACAACCCCAAACTCTCCCATACCCAGTTCTTTGTTAATGGTTATACTTGCAGCAGGAATTATATGTTTACTTGAAACTCTTGGCGACTTCGATAGTGTTAAAGAATCAGTAGTCGCCAAGAGACATGCATCGGTAACAGAGTTCTCATGTTTCCGGTGAGTTAATAATTTTTTGAATTTAGATAAATAATTATGAGGAAAATGCTTTTCATAGTACTTTCTTAAACGTCGCATTTCTGGTTTAGACATTCCAATTTCAATTAAGTCACTCTCTGTAGTAAATTTCAACTGAGAAGGATGAGTAATCTTTAGTGTATTTCTAAAAATAAATTAAATAAAACAAATTCTAGCATTACCCTTAGTAGCATGCACACTTACTTGAAACTATTAAAATATTGTTGTAATTCAGCTTCTATGAGAAACTCATAAAGACCTGGGCCTTTTTTGAAAGATGCATTAACACCCTCTAGAAAATAAAATTAAAATGAATCTAATGCCTATAAAGTTCTGTTTAAACACGATGAGCATGTTAATGAAGGGTACACAAAAGAAAAAAGTAGGATTCATACAGGAAAAAACGATAACTAGGCAAAATACAAAAATGCATACCCATTTCCTTAATCTAATAAGATCTAAAACAAATAGGACACTATTAACATTAAACCGTGCAGATTCGTTGGGGCCCAACTAACAAATACCTGGAAGTATATCCATTATTCACTGTATTTTTATATTTCATAAAAAATAAATAAGATTAAAGAATTTATCAATATTTATTATCACATTAATTACTCCATTATTGACATCAAGTGACACAAAATGACATTTTATATTTTATGTCAAGTATCAAATGTCAATTCTCTAAAGCACTGTTCGTTAAATGCTATACTAGTGGCTTCAAGGACCAAGAGGATCATGAAGAATACAGAGCAGTGACGTCACCAGATCCTATTAGATCACAAAAGCCCTGTTCCTTAGATGCTACTCCTAGTGGCTCCAAGAGATCTTGTATCATGTAGAGTACGGAGCAGTGACATCACCAGTGCAGGGACTCCCGAAATGTCGATTCGATGATTCCGAATCGAGATCGAAATAATGTCGATATATCCGTACTCTTGAAAATTTTACTATCGAAATAATATCGAAACCCCGTCCATTCGAATCGATATAATATCGAGGAGTCTTGGCTAGCCGAAATGATTTGCTCTCTTCTTCTATCACATGTATTGACTATTGCTGTTTCGTTTCAACATTACAAATATGCACGTGTTTGCATTTGTGTTTTGTTTATTTTTACGTATTTAACCTAATCCAATGTAAAGTGTCAAATACTTGTTTATATATAATATATTATATTTACAACTATTTGAACAGTTTTTTAATGATATACATTTTCTGTTAACATAATTATGTTCTTTAGGAGCAATCATCGATATTAATAATAATGGTACTTATGAATTAAATAAATATAAATACTGCATAATATTACAAATCTCGTTCTTGTCATGAGTGTGTATTTACCGGAATATTTTTCTCTAAGTTGGTGAACATTTTATCCAATTGTTGGGGAGGTTTTAATAAATAACTTAAGTTATGTATGTGACTTTCTTTTTTCTTTATACCTCTAATAGTTTGTTGACTTGAAGCAATAAGTCTACTCATTCCAGTCATGTTCACCGTGCATAAAACCAGAAAGCACAAAATAATTTAATATTGAATTGAATATTTCTTTTTACTTCTTTTAAATGTCAAACAATAAAAAGATTAATAATGGATCCATTGAACCTCTTTAACTATCTTCTCCAAATATTTTCAATCCTAAATGCTTCTCATCGCTCTAATGTTTCAACAATAATTATAATCACAGAGGTAGTATTTTATGTTTTTTATTCCAAATCGAATAAAAATTAAGGATGTGGAATATCAATAATTTGTTGAGTATGTACCTACGCATAAGACGTTAATCAACTTTCATGGTTTACTGTTTTCTCGTAGAATAAATAAATAATTTTATAAACTTCTGTTTAATTATTTGATGATAGGTATTAATTTTAAAATTTAAATAAACAGCATGACGCCGCTGCCGAACAAAAAGAGATAGATAGTTGAAATACGTATGTTAGACAGAAATATATATATCACTCAGTTGGCTTAACCGTGGTGGTATACAACATTACCCCAAATTTGCCGAACTTATCAGAGGACTATATCGATGTGCTTCAAGAGTACCAATTTATATTTCGAGTCGAATCGATCGAGATTGACTTCGTAATTATCTCGATATCGATAAAACGACATCGATATTTCAGGAGTCCCGCTACAGATCCTTTTAGATCACAAAATAGAGCAGTCAGATCTTGGAGTCATTTGCCTGTGTTGCAGAACTTAGAGTTACTCTGAACTGATATTAGCCCCCCAGATTATTATGACCCAACAACACAGAATAGATAGATCAGTATTCAGTATAGTGATGGGCAGAATCGAGAAAATTCAGAATCGAATAGCTTGCATTCGAATACTTTTCAGAATCGAATAATCATTCGAATAAAGAGAATTCGAATTCAAGTCAAGTCTCGCATCATTCATAGATTAGGTTCCCGACTTCTCGCATTCGCTTTTCACTTTGAAGTCTTTGCACTCATATCTCATATGAATGCGGCAAGGGTTTTTGCATAGATAAATATAGAGATCTTTTAATATCTCATGAGCCGCGAAATGCGCGAAAGGCGTGGCGTATCCCCATAATTCTTCTAATAAGGACGTTGTGAAAACATTGACTCAGAATTAGACCATGTGCCTCATTACAACTAGAAATGAACTAAGGCGCTCGGGCATCAATAAAGTCAACTGGCGA